GGCGCGGCGGGAGCCGGCTCGCCGAGGGCAGCCGGCGCTGGGAGCGGAGCCGCGGGCTCGCGAGCCTGGCGAGTGGGACCAGGTAATGCCCCGCGCAGCCCGGGCGCCCCGGCGGGAACCCCTCCCTGGGAGCCGCCGGAGTGGGGCACGGAACCCGGGCCGGGTGGGGTGGGCGGGTGGATGCTCACCTGGGGCGGGGGGCGGGAGGCGACCTCGCACCGTACTCCTTCGCCCTCGGGTCAGTTTAATAATGAGCCGGGGGGTAGAGGAGGGAGGTGGGCGTGGGCATTTTCACCCGCCCCCTCCCCTTTGTGTCCTGGGATGCAGGGTCCTCAGGAGCCAGGATTCCAGTGTCCCTGCCGGCGGTGTCTCGTCTCCGTATCAACTTAATTTCCTCTCTTTTGAAGACAGGAGACGTTCGAAATGTTCCTAGTAAAAATGGCAACTGTGTCGTTCAGCTTCAGGACATCCCGGTGGGGAAGCTGATTTGGCCCAGGCCGAACCGGAGTGAGAAGTGCACCCTGGCCGCAGTGGCCGGTGACAGTGGACCGGGGCGATTCTGGGTTGGGGCTCCCCAGTTTTGAGTCCAGGCCTGCTCGTGCCAGGTGGCTTTCTGCCATGTCGCCGCTTGAAGCTGAGTCAGGTTTCTGTAACTCGGGGCTCTGGTGAGGAAGTTTGACGTGGCAAACTGGGTTGCGTGAGGAAGCAAATTCCTGCCACCGGTTAAGAGGGACCTGGCTGCTTCCTGCCTTTTGCAGGGACCATCTCTGCCTTTCCTTCCTGTCACTCAGCAACAGGCTGTTGCTTAGGTGTCTTGGGGCTGTCTTCCTAAATGTACTTGGTTGGATAAGCTTGACCAAAGCTCAGGCTGCCACGTCTCTCTCTGCTCAGTGGGAGGAGGGAACAGAGTGGACCAGAAGGCCTGCTTCTCCTGGACCTCTTTTTAGTTTTCCCCTTCCAAGGAGAAGACAGTGCTCTCATGATATTTGTATTTAGTTGCTTTAATTTGAGAATTTAGAGCTTAATGTGGAAACGAAACCAGATCATGAATTTTAGGCTTCACATTTTTAATTGGAAATGCCATTTCGTGAATATAGACAGAATCCAAGTCTTAGCAGGTGTCACTCCTACTAAAGGACAACGAAGAAAGGAGCAAAGGGAAGAGTATGTCTGTGCCAGGTGAAGAAACTGGAGAGAAATTGTAAAGCATTGTTTTATATCTGGAAAGGCCCTTGGAGGCTTCAACTGGGACCCAGAGAGGTTCTTCAGCTTGTTCTGTGTCACACAGTTAAGTATTGGCAGATATGGAATGAAAACACACTTCTCTTGCCAGGATTTGGAGCATTTCCTGTCATAAAATATGTGTGTGTTTTTTTAAATGACCAATCCTATGAAACATCTCATATTTTGTGAAAACCTGGAAAAAATGGAAAATTTAAGCAAATTGGAGTTTGGATTCTGAGTAGAATCAAAATGAGTCTGTTATGTTTGTGAGTGTGTGTGCCTACACACATATGAAATTACACTTTTTTTCTTAGTTCCTTAAATATAGGTGCATTTGTTTTTAGAGTTGTGATATATTTAAATCAGAAAGAAATTCTGTTATCTTTGAGAAACCCCTGAGAACACTCAAATGGTTGAAACTACCACCTGGCTTGGTCAAATTGTGACATGATCATAAAGTAAGCCCATTATCAACTTTATCTTTTGCTATATTTGTTGGACTATGATTTCTCTTTGTGCTAATTATCAGATTAAAATTACTAGTTAGAAGAGCACTGAAAAGATACAAGTCATAAAACATCTGATTGCAGACTACTGGTAGTTATTGGGGTCAGTCAACTGACTGGGCATGGTATTCTCTGTGCTGAAACATGACCATGGAAACCAAAAGCACAGAATAGTTGGAGCACTTATGAGAGATTTATCTGGGAAGCACTTCAGGTTTCTAATGAAAAAGTGGTTGGCAGTTGTTATTCAGGTTGTATGCCTGATAATTTGCCCAGAATTATTAAAGTGATTTACTGAGTTTCAAAGAGCTATGGTTAGACCATTATCATTTTTAGTGGATAATGATATGATACATTATATTGTATAATATGAAGATGTCTCATGCACCTGATAGTTGTACTTTACCTCAAACTATCATAAACTTTTTTTTTAATAGTATTAAGTGCTGAAACCCTCTTGTTGACACGTTTTTGTTTTTCTGTTGCAGAGTTCTTTTGTAGAGCTATCCTTTGGAATGATATTTTCATAATGAGTCAACAAGGTTATGTGGCTACACCCCCCTATTCTCAGTCCCAGCCTGGAATAGGCCTTTCTCCACCTCATTATGGGCACTATGGAGACCCGTCGCACGCATCATCTCCACAAGGTAAAGTGCATTATTTTGACTTGTATGTGTTTGTTGAGTTCTCAGACTCAGAGACAATAAGACATTCTAAAAGAAGAGCTTTGAAAGTACTGAATGCCTGCTATATGATGTACTGGCCTGAGATCATAGGATCTTTTGGAAAGGATCATAGCAGAACTCTATATCACCAGTTTGGTTATTGCAAGAAATACAAGTTTGGTTTTTAAATATTAGACTAAAACGAAGCTTTCCTTAGTGTCTTATTCTTATTGTTAGACTTGTTCTTGCTGTTAATTAGTAGTGTGAGGTTATTATAAATATTTAATAAAAATGAATTACATTTTTTTTTTTTTGAGTTGGAGTCTCATTCTGTCTCCCAGACTGGAGTGCAGTGGCCGCTCCTGGCCACCGCAGCTTCGACCTGCTAGGCTCCGGCGATCCTTCCGCCTCAGCCTTCCAAGTAGCTGGAACTACAGGCGCGCGCTACCACGCCCATCTAATTTTTGATTTATTGTAGAGATGAGGTCTGGCCAAGTTGCCCAGGCGGGTCTCAACCCACGGGCTCAGGCATTCCACTCACCTCAGCCTCCCAAAGGCGCGGGATTACAGGCTGAGCCACCGAGCCCGGCTATGAATTACATTTTTAAATGAATTAAATTTACATGTCCTTTCCTGGGATTGGTCCTAGCTAAATTATATATCATTTATGTGTACATTGTGAAAATGGGCCATGTATACATCAGTGAGTAACTCTTAGGGCTCACTGGAACCAGCTCAGATATCTAGGCTACAGGTTTTGCTAGATAGCATGCAAGAAGTGCAGTCAGTCAGAGGTGAAGAAAGCCCTATAGGGAGCCTTATGTTAGTAACCATACATAATTTGATGCAGAGATTATGAATATCCTGTGGAAAATCACCCTTAAGATTTAGTCTTCCCTAAACCTGTAAATTCCTCCAATTACTAGTCCTCTTTTATAGCTAAGAAAATGGAATGTTTGATATAGTGGGACTTGTCTAAGGTCATAGAGCTGGCAAGTAGTGGCGCAAGAATTCATAAGGTCTCTTAGGAGGCAAACAACAAACTCTCATATGCTCCTAAATATAACACCCTCTTTCCTCTGTTCACAGCTATCTTCCTGAGAACATACTCACCGCACTCAGGGACTCTCAACCTTGGCCCCGCCTTAGGCTCTGACTCAGTATGGTTTATGCTCCGCTCCATAACTTGTCTCCCCATCTCCCTTCCATTTCCCTCACCAGAGTTTTCCATGGCCTCCCATTATTCAATGTGGTAGACATTATCCTGTCTTCCTCTTTTGTTTTTGACACTGTCTACCCTCTTGTTTTTATAAAACTCTCCTCTCCTTTGGTTTCAGTGACACCATCCTTTCACTGTTTTGCTTGGTTGCTTTCTGGACATCTCTTCCGAAAGTGTCCTTCTACATGATCCTTAGGTGTAGCTGTTTCTTTCTGTGTCCTATTATCACTTTTCTTTTCTTACTCTATAGATTTTTCTCTAAGCTGTATCATTCCCCATAAAGTACTTTTCCCTGAGATCTATTTCTCCAGCCCAGATGTCTCCCCTAAGTGCCAGGTCCATAATTCAGCTGCCCACCTGTTTACTTAGGCACATAAAACTCATCATGCCCCAAATAATTCAGTATTCTTTTATAGAAGCCTGTTTTTTCTGGCATTCCGTATCTCACTTATTATCTTCAGTGATCCACACCAGAAACTCACTGTTAAAAAAATATATATATCTCCTTTCTACTTCCTCCAATACAAATTGATTTCCCAAATACTTTTGGAACATCGTAAACATCTTTCCTATCTGCTTCCCCTCTCTATCCTCCTCCTGTCACTCTTGCAGTTCAGTTCATCCATCTTTCACCTGGATTAAGAATATGGTCCCTTCACAGTCTTCCCTCTCTCCAATACTGCCTTTTCCAAACCATCAGCTCTTGAGCCAGAGGGATTTTTAACAGCTTGAAAATCAAATATGGACTTTCCTTTTTATAAAGGTTAAAACCTTTTATGTCTATTTATATTTTAAGCCTATTTATATTTTAAGCTCTTTAGGCTTTCATTATTTTACCCACTTTCTTTTTTCAGTTTATCTGCCCCATTCTCACACTTGTTGCTTCAGTGACACTAAGTCATTGTCATTTGGAGGCCAGTTTTACTTGTTCCTTGGTTAGCAGTTCCCACTACCAGAAAGCCTGCCCATGCCTCTACCATGTTCTCATGACAGGACTTCTCCTCACCCTCCTCCTTCAGATGCAGTTCAAGTGCCATGCTTGTAGGCATGTCTGACTTTTTTCTTCCTCGAGTTTATTGATAATTCCTTTTCTCCTTTTGTGTTTTCCTAACACCTTTGCAGATCTCTATACCATTTACCATCCTGTGTTATAATAGATGTGCCTAGAGTAGAGAAGTTACTCATTAAATGTTTTAAAATGATTTTTATTTTAATTGACAAAAAAATTATCTATTTGTCATGTACAACATATTGTTTTGAAATATGAACACATTGTGGAATGGCTAAATCGAGGTAATTAAAAATGTTTAGTCCATGAATTAACAGAATGCCAAGCTGCAGCATTTATTAGCAAAATACCCTGGTATTTACCAATATTTTAAAAAGCTGTCTTTGTTGTATTAAATCCTTCATGTTTTAATTTAACCTTGTTTCTTCTTCTTTTTTTTGAGTTAGAGTCTCACTCTGTCATCCAGGCTGGAGTGCAGTGGCACACTCATGGCCACCGCAGCCTTGACCTGCTGGGTTCAGGCGATCCTTCTACCTCAGCCTTCCCGTTAGCTGGAACTACAGGCATGTGCTGCCACGCCCAGCTTATTTTTTGATTTATTGTAGAGACAAGGTCTCACCAAGTTGCCCAGGCTGGTCTCGAACCCCCGAGCTCAGGCAATTCTCTCTCCTCGGCCTCCCAAAGTGCTGGGATTACAGGCTTGAGCCACCATGCCTTGCCAAATCTGTTTTTTCTTATTCAATTCTCAGACAGAAAACCAAGCTATCATACTCTGTGGAATTAACACCTTTCTATAAATTATGGTGTTTCTGCTTAATTATTTAAGACTTTCACTAAATTACCCTAACCTTTATTTCTTTGTGCTGAATAACCTGAAATACTTTAATTTTCAGTCATCGTGTTTCTTCTTGTCTAGATCTTTTTATTGAATTTGGGACAAACATAGGCAACCTCCACTGTGGGTCTTTGAAGTATCTGATCCACCGTAGATCTGGCCAGTGCTAATTCTTGCTTTGTTTTCCTCACATGTCATATTTCCATTTATGCCTATACATTGTGTGTTTTTATTATGCTGGTGCTATGTAGTAACACATTTAACAGACTTACTGAGTACACAGACTACTTGTGGTGATATAACAATGAATAAAGAGAACCTAATGTCAGTCCTTATAGCACTTACTTATCCAGTGGGGTATGCATTAAACAAATTAACAATGGAAATTCAGGGAAGTGCTATCACAGTAGAGGTAGAGAGTGCTATGGAAGCATGTGACAGGGGTACCCAACCAAGGCTTTAGAGGGGAGGGGACTTTCCTGGAGGAAATGCCCTGAAAGATGAGTGAGAGCTGGCAGGTTGAGAGGCAGCTTGGGGCTGGCAGGGGGACCTTTGAAGACCCGCAAGACATTTGGCATGGCTGGGATGTGGCATGTGAGCAGTAAGAGATGCTTCTGGAGGGGGAAGTGGAACCATCTTAAAGAATTTAGACTGTATTGTAAAGGTAGTCAAGTACTGATGAAGTGACTTAATCGGGAAAGGGTCACAATCCATTGTACATTTAGAAAGTGTGAAGAAGGAATTAGGGCTGAGCATGCCGCTCTCTGAAACAAAGTTTTTCAGCCTCAGCACTCTTGACATTTGGGGCCAACCAGAAAGTGGCGGGGCACTGTCCCATGCATTGCAGGTTATTTAGTAGCAGCGCCCTTGGCCTCTACTCACTGGATACCAGCATTACCTCCTCCTACCTTTTGGGAGTTTTGGCAATCAAAAATGCCCTAGACATTGCCAAGGGCAAAATCAGTTGTGACTGTGGACCACTGGCCTGGAAGCTCAGAGTCAAGAAATCTTAATGTCCTGGTACTCGGATAGAAGCTGTGGGGTGGTACAAAGGCTCCCAATAAATAGTGAGCTTTTGTAGGTACCACCTAACACAGTGCTGCAGGAACCCCAGCCTTACAGTTTTACCCATGCAATAAAGAGTCCATCTTTGTTTATTTTAAATGCCTTTCCTCTCTACAAATGGTTTTTAACCCTTTGCACTCGGAGACTTCTTATGGATCACCTACTAGCAACTTGACTACACTTTTTCATGAAATAGTGAAAAACTAATCACTTCATATTAAATAGTATTGTGTTGGAACTGATTATTTTATTGTAATGCTACTTGGATTATAACGGAATTTTGAACATGGAAGAATTTTTATGACAAAAAAACAAAACTTTATATCTTACATTTATCTAACATGTGGTAACGTGTGAAACAGTCACCAACGTGCATTGCAGGTTCATTGATACATGTTGTACAAAAGTAATTTGTTTGACGTCTTCCACCTAGTGTTTTTCTATTCGAGCAGACAATGCAGTCTTGTTTTCTTCCTCCTATAATATGTAGTTTATTGTCCAGTCTGTGGTTCGAAGATAATGTGGAAAGATGCACTCATGATTCCTGAAAACCGTTTCTCAACTGACGGATTTTTCAATGCAATCTGCCTTCAACTTTGAACGTCTCTTTCTTTTAAGGCTATAGTAACTTGCTTATCTGTCTTTTCAAGTTATGCCATATGATGCAAAGAGGGTATACTCACAGCTGCCTTTCTTATACAAATGTTCTTTATTACTGCCTTCTATTACAAAGAAGTATAGGTACCACTGTGAAAGCACTTCACACATTCGATTTCTATCTGATGCCAGCTGATACTTTTTAACGTATATCTCAGTATATATTCTATATCTTTATTTGCTTTTTCGTGCAATTTGAATAGAAAACTTCAAGGAGACATACGTTTTTGAAAAATTTGCATTTGCATAAGTTTGTCTTGTATAATGACTAGCAATCTTTTTTTGTCCCCTCATAGGACATAAAAAGAGTGGTTTGCTAGATTTGTGATGTCCCCTCAGAGGGGACGTATGAGTACAAAGGATTAATTTTGTTTTTAGTTTGTCAGATCCAGGACCAAACTCAAGGTATACTTTTCTGTGATGTGGTTTTAGTCAGTGTTCCTTTGCTAATAACAATCGCCTCTAGAAGAAAAGGATTTATTAAAGGGTATCAGGAAATAAACAGATTATTAAACAAAGGCAGAGAGCCAGACTTGGGTCTCTGTGGTCCATAATGATGCACAGTCCCACACAGGATCATTCCACCATCAGTCACCAACTTTTCTATCCCAGAATAACCAACTCTGCCACCAGACTGGCCAGTGTTTCCCAAAGATGTATTGCTTTGCCCAATTTAGAGCCTGTGGCAAGCCCAATTGTAAGGGAGTCTAGGAAATGGAGTTTCTGCCTTTCCAGCTCAGGACCATACAGGGCAAGCCAGAGTTTGAAATTGTCATTAAGTAAATGAGTTTATAGTATCAGCCACTGATTAAAGACCAATTTGTGGTCTTAGACATATATACATATTCTTGGTCTAAGCACAGTTACTTCATTCTCACTGTGTAGTTTTCCCTACCTATTAAAACTCTCCTAGTGCTCTATAAATAGCCTGATGCTATTTGTATCTGATCACTTTTGAAAATGCCAATAGTGTGGCCAGGGGAGGACTATGACTTTTCAGATATTAATGATACTGACTTCCCTTTGCCCTGGGGACAGAGTCCAAATGACACACAGGAAACAAACAGATCCCAACCAACCTGCACAGCCTCCACTCTGGCCACTTTCCCTCACAGTCTCCACACTGAACCTTTTGCCAGTTCCTGGTCATGCCGTGCTCTCTCATGTCTTTGCTCAAGCTTTGCCTTCTGGCTGTCTTTTCCCCTCAGCCTGTCTTTCATACTAAGAAAATTCCTAGTTGTCCTTCAAGCTAAAGCAGTCCTTCCCTTTGATCCCCACAGGAAGAGTTAGGTAGCCCTTCTGCATATCATAACACTCATCCCAAGGCACAGTGATGATTTGTTTGCATGGTTGTCTCTTCCCTAAGTGCCTCAAAGGCATGTTAAATGTGTGTTGAATAAGAATGAGTTTGAATCATTAAGATAGAGTGGATTCCCCCAAAACAAAAGGGAGCGCACATTTTAGTAAGACTGGTGTATAAAAAAAGTTCTGCTTGGGTATATCAGAACTGTTTAATGAATCCCTAGACACATAAATGGGGATTGTTGATAAAGATATCTATTAACTTACTTATTTAAAAAAAACAATATCTTTTCTTCTTGTAGTACATGTGATTATTTAAGTTGAAAATATTTTAGCCATTGCCTTACTAGACTCAGGTGTGGCCATGTGCTCTTTGAGCTATGACTGTCGCCATGCTTCCTGGCGTTGGCCCCCTTTCCTACCTTGGGGAAGTGAATCTTCTCATTCTCTCTCTCTAATTTACTTTTAAATCAATGTATTTTCCAATCTAAAAAAAAAAAAAGAAAATATTTTAATACTACTGTTGTGGATTTTCTACTTTTGTCCAAAGTAATGTCTTAGAAATGAAAATGCAAGTGTGCATGTAACTATGGAACATATGCTTTGTTGGAATAAAAATGCTTGAATAGGGAGAGCAGGGGATGTGACAGGAGAGAGGAAACAACGGTTCTCAGTGTTTTCATACCTGTTGCCTCTGATTCTCAGAACAGTCTTTGGAGATGAACATTATTGCCATGATGTGGTATTACAAGTCGATGTATTGAAAAATAAGGCATCTTGTCAGAGTCGTGAATTCAAACCCAAGTCTGTGGGCTGAAAGTCTCTTTACTGGGTTTGGATTTATAACTTTATATTAACATGTAGTATTATAAGTATGTTATTTGCTGGCATGGTGGCTCATGCCTAATATAATCCCAGCACTTTGGGGAGCCAAGGCAAGAGGTTTGCTTGAGCCCAGGAATTTGTGATCAGCCTAGGTAACATAGTGAGAGCTCATCTCTACAAAAAGTTTCGCCAGGTGTAGTGGTGTGTGCCTGTTGTCCCAGCTACTTGGGAGGGCTGAGGCAGACCGATCCTCTGAGGTTGAGGCTGTGGTGAGCCGTGATTGTGCCACTGTATCTCAGACTGGGCAACAGAGTGAGACCCCAACTAAAAAAATAAATAACTGTTGAAAATGGTGTTATATGAAAAATTGCTAAATAAACTATGACTGTAGAGTTAATACAACAAATATATTCAGTTTAAGGAATCTTGTTTTAAGAGAAGAAATCCTTGTGAACGTTTCAATAATATTATTCATGAAAACAGGCTTTTCACTGGTTACCTGTTATTCTAGATTATACAAACACCTGAAATCACCCGCTTGAAAGCATTATTATAATAATTATTACAATGTAAGAAACTTCCTGGTTGACTGCAGGTCATCCAGTCAGTTTCTTTCTATTGAGGGAATAAAACTTTCTGAATGAAGATAACAAAAGAAAGGAGATGTTAATGTAAAATACCATCAGGAGATCAAATGGAGTGCACAGCAGGCAGCTAGGAGGTCACAGATTACCTTGCCAGAAAGGAGGGGAGGGTCAAAAGTAAATTGAATAGGTCAGAGCAAAAACAAGCCAGATGGAGGTAGACAGGGCAAGCAGGATAATTGTTTTCTGTTTTTCTTTTATGAGGCTAGAGGGGAGTCTCACTGACATTCTAGTCTAAACCTTTCAGGTTACAGAGAGAAAGCTGAGGTCGTCAAGGATAAGCTTATTGCCCAGCGCCATACACCAAGTATGGCCTTTAACTACTGTAGTGACCCTGTGTGATAACTACAGTAACCAGGCCCAGTGAATTTTCTCCTCTACCTTGCCTCCCTAGAAGACAAGATAAAATTACTGGAAATAGTTCCAAAGAGAAACAATTTAAGATCTCTATTTGAGAAGCGCTGCTTATAAATGAAAACACTGCCAGGAGCATCCGCTAATTGCATGTGGTCCCATATTTTGTCTGAGTGAGTGGGATGACGAGCAGTCCCCCTACTGGTTATCACCCAATTATTCAGGATTCTGGAAAAATTATTAAGCTCCAAAGCAGGTACTCAGGATTTGTTAGAAAAACAGACCCTGTTCTCCACTTGCTCTCCTCATGCTGTAGCCCAGGGGTCTTTTCAGTGGTGTGGTGTCCGTCGTGCCCCCCCCACCATAGTTAGAGTTTGAATGCTCTACCACACATTTTCCTCCCTTTCCCTGATTTATTTTCTGACATCCAACTGACATTTGCCATTGCATGTTCAAGTATCCCTTGTGTGGTAGTGTGCTCTGTGAAGGTTCTAACTAGTGTGCTCTGTGAAGGTTATTTCTGCTGTTTTAGTTTCTGTTTAGTGTTAAAATGATTCCCTTCTTTTCTGGTCTTCTATAATTATGATAGTGAAATACCTGTGCCAGAGCCTGGCATTGACAGATCTGGAGGAGATCTTTTCCTAACCCATTTGTTTCCCTCCTCCACCTAGTTTTCATTTTTAACCTAATGTCCTTGCATCGGCTCTTTTTGCACTTTAATATAAAAAGATTTCTATGCTTAAGAAGACCGATATACTTCTAAATTCATGCGCCTCTCTTGCAGGTATGATGAAGCCAGCCGGGCCCTTGGGAACTGCTGCCCCTGGGATGCTGTTGCCTCCAGGCCCTTCTCCTTCAGTACCCCATCAGTTTGGCCAGAATGGAGCTCATGCCTCAGGTCATCCTCCCCAAAGGTAAGCTAGGTAGATTCCAGTCCTTATTTGTATATTCTACTAAAATGGTCTCAGAAATACCTTCCAAACTTGAATGTTTATTGGTTTAAAGTTTGACTTCTTCATAATGTCTATATTCTTGGGGGGAAAAAAAAAAAAAACTACTGAAAAACTGCCTTAGGAAACAAAGCAAAAAAACAAAGGAAAAAAATTTCGGAGGAAAAGATCAACATTTGTAAATATTTAAAAATATGTCAAAAACTACTTGTTTCAAACCTAATATTTTATTATATTCGGTTTATTTTGTATTAATCTCTAATTCCTTCAGATGCTGATGGCCTGTATTCCTCAATAGAATTTGAAATCACCCTTGGATCCTTCACAGAACTGAACTCAGTGCCAATAGGTGCTTAATGCATATTTTTAATTAAATCAGATTGCGGCCAATGGTAAAATCTATGAGTTTGATATGGAAGGCCCATAGATGCCAGTGAAGGACTCTCAGAAGGCAGGGCTATAGTAGAAACAACACAGTAAGTAAACCTTGTTTGTGTTTATAATAAATTGAGGAAGAAAAAAGTTGGAAGCAGGCCTAGAGAAGCCAAGGTATGAGATATGTGAAATATTTAGAGGCTGCAACCCTCTAAGGACTGTTCCCTGGGAAGGGAGCCAGCAACACACCTTCCCCATTAGAAATCCCATTATTGTTTGTCCTGTAAGGTGTGGCTGCTGAGAGGTACAGCACCAAACTCTGGGCAGTGTTGATTCTGGAGTTTCTCCAAGGACTACCCAAAAGCTTCATTTATCAGGTTCCTTTCCCAGGTTGTTAGACTGGGGGGTGATGGAGAGAGTAACCCATGTATGAGTCTGAACTTTGCTAATGGTGAAGTGATTTAGTCATTATCTTTTAAGAAGCCTGTAGTCCTCCATAGCAGGAAAACTCCCTCTGGGATTTTAAAAATCATCTCATTGAGTCTCCTACAGGACATTTGTGAGTTTGACACTAGCTGGCTCTTGTTTGTCATAACAACTTTTGCTCTTGAATGTTAGCTGGAGAATACAGAGGGAAATTAATGCAGAAAATACAGGATGATTCTAATTTGGCTTAAGTCAGATTGTGCTTTGAGCTCTGTGCAAGAAGTCAAAGGCCCTTAGTGGAGACTTGACCCTACTGCCCCTAGTCTCAAAGAGTGCTAGAAGGGCAATAAAGGGAAAGCAAAAAGACTAAGACCCAAGATGGCTTTTCTAGTTCAAGCAATTAACTAACTATGGATGCTGGTAAAGTTCTTTGGCCTCGCCAGGCCTTATTTTTCTCACTTATAAAATAAGAAGATAGAATTATTATTTCAGAAGTAAAGGAGAGGAGATCGGGAAAATTCATTGTTGTGGACTTCCAAACTTTTTTTTTTTTTTTTTGGAGTTGGAGTCTCACTCTGTCCCCCAGGCTACAGTGCAGTGGCACACTCACATACTACAGCCTCAACCTGCTGAGCTCAGGAGATCCTTTCACCTCATCCTTCCAAGTAGCTGGAACGACAGGCCTGTGCCACCACACCTGGCTAATTTTTTTTGTTTTGTTTTTTGATTTATTGTAGAGATGGGGTCTCGCCACGTTGCCCAGGCTGGTCTCGAACCCCTGGGTATAGGCATTCCTCTTGCTTCTGCCTCCCAAAGTGCTGGGATTACAGGTGTGAGTGACTGTGCCTGGCTGTATTTCAGATATTTTTAAAAAAAGAAATGCAAAGATTGAACAGTTGCCTTCGAGTTTAGAAAAGGTTTTGGGCACTGGTATTAGCCTGGACTGGATTGATCTTTTTGGTTTATCGCCATTTGTTTCGCTTGATTAAGTTGCTTAGCAGTAAGTAAATCATGGACTTTGCCATCAAGCAGGCCCTGGCTGTGCGAATATGAGCCCAGCACAGGGTCTGGGCCAGTGGTGAGCGTAGACTCTAGAGTAAGGACTTGTTTGCTAACCTTGGCCCAAGCAGTTACCAGCTGGATAAGTGACATAACCTCTAATGTGCCTTGGTTTGCTCAAGACAATTGTGACAACAATATGTGGTTGTGAGGATTTTGATGATTAATGTATGCCAGGTACCTTACACAGTACACAGTACCCATGAAGGACTCAACACACGGTTAGCAGTTGTCAATATTATTTCCACTGAATATGGAAAGTCCACTGCCTAGAGCTTGTTCTTCCTTAGAGCTCAGTCTAGTTATTGATGACAGCTCAATTTCAGAAACGGCTTTTATTGTGCTTACCAGGGAAGCACTGACAGATGTTGCCTTCTCCCCTTCACTATTCACTAACTACAACTTGCATACTGAATGAAAATGTAGAATTAGGTGAAAAAATGAAAAGGTCAGAGAAAAGTCTAGGATCTCAGGTTAAGTCTCGTGTACCATGCTGCCTTGCCCTCATGGGACACGTTTCTGTGTACACAGTGCAATCCTAGGGCAAAGTGCACAGTGATTGTGCAGGTGAGTTACACTAGGCTGATGACAGAGGTTGTCAAAGAGCATAGATGGTATGCAGCCTTTTTTGTGGGTTTTATATTTTGTCTGTGTCATTTGCACTTAAAAGATTGATCAAAGAACTCCTTTATTAATGTTTACCATATCTAAACTATCAAATAAAAACAAGAGCTAATTCAGTTACTATGTTGCTTTGAATAAAAAATGCATACTTTTTATTTTTAAATTATTGCTATTTTGAAGATAATGCTATATAAAATTTTAAAATCATGCCTTTTGATCTTGACTGAAGAAGAATAAATGTCTTAAACCTGTAAATAATGCTAAAGTTATCAACATAGGGTTACCACTGAGTAGGATTAATTTGTAAAAAAAAAAAAAAATTCTACATCCTAAAAATTCATTTTTTAGTAGTAAGATAAAAAGTCAATTATTTAATTAGAAGTCATCTTATTTGTCTAAGAAACGGTGAATTGAAGGAGACAGGGACCCAGCTTCCCAAATTGAAACTGATGTATGTGAACCTATTGATTCAGAAATGGATTTCAATGGAGAGGAGGGAGCAATAAAAATAAGAGAAATAGTTGTTTTTTCTTTAATTTTTTTAAATATGGAAAGCAATGATAGAATTTCTCAGAGCTTTAATTTTCTCTACTCTATGGGCTGGATATTTAAAATCCAGATTTTGCTTTAATCAAATCTTGAAAAATTTGGCATCTTATCTTCATATACACAAACTTCAGCGTGCATCTCATTTTTTGAACAATTTGTTGCAAACTTGAAAATGGGGAGTGTTTGAAGGTAAGCAAGCCACAGACAGCTGAGTCTACTCTACAGAGGATTAGGATTAAATTGAGGTTGAATTTTCATGTTTTATTAATAACTTAGAATTAATCCTTTATTAACTTCTTTCTGGTGGTGAATCATCCCTTTTCTAACATTCATTGAAACAGTAAATTAAAATATATAATCGAGTATTTCTCAGTCCAGAAGCATGTTAAACGAAGGCAATCAACGTGAGAAGTATTTAACTTTGTATGGTTCTTAATTTTAACCACGTTATTTTAATAGCAAGAAAGGGATCATTCTGCTCTACCTGCTAGTTTTTATTGTTTGAAAGCTGAGAGCTCAGAAATTAAGTGACTTGCCTGTGATCACACAATAGGTGTCTACACTAAGGGTGGGAGGACCTGGATTTTCACTTAAACTTTACTCTCACATGCTGTGTAACTTTGAATAACTAATTTAGTAAAGTAATGAAATTGCAAAATATTAAACCAGTTTGTATGTTTAAAACGTTCTGTTAATCTCTTTTCCCTTTTGTAACAGTTTTGTTACCTACTTAATAACATTTTTATTTTTTAAGTTGATAATATTGTTTTTAAAAACCAAATCTAGGCTGAGTGTGGTGGCTCGTGCCTGTAATCCCAGCATTTGGGAAGCTGAGGTGGGAGGATTTCTTGAGCCCAGGAGTTTGAGGCCAGCCTAGGCAACATAGCGAGACCTCATCTGTTCAAAAAATAAAATAATTAGCAGGGTATAGTGGTACGTGCCTGTAGTCTCAGTGATTTGGGAGGCTGAGGCAAAAGGATTGCCTGAGCCCAGGAGGTGGAGGCTGTGGTGAGCCTTGATTGTGCCACTGCACTCCAGCCTGGTGACAGAGTGAGACTCTGACTCAAAAAACAAAGCAAAACAAAAAACCAAATATATTAAAACTTACCATGTTTAAGTTGGTCAGAAAGAAATGATTTATTTGTGAATTTCTGAAGCCTAATTCCCAGGACATGTATTAAACTCTGAATGATGAGTAGCCATTTATGGATTGAAGGTAATAGCTGGGAGTTGTATATTCTCTAATTTTCAGTTTTAAATCTTTGATCTTTGTTAAGTTAAAAAAATACTTGAGGCTGCTTGTGTCATAACTCTTATTTGAAAATACATTTTGTCCTACCAGTATTTTCTATATAAAAAGGGATTCACAGAATTTTATGTTTTAAAAATATTATTAGGAGAACTTTTTCCTCAATTTAAATGCTGCTTCCCTGGTTCCTGCTTATCAGCTCCAAACTCTGTAACCAAACTTCACTGCATCCACTGTTATAGTCTATAGTGCATGTACATCCCCTCTGTGTATAATTAATTACTCCAATTATCTATCCCCCATGAGTGAGTTTTTAAAAAAGACACAAAGGATTATTTCTTTAAAAAAAGAAATAGTTTAAGACTTCTTATGAGACAATTGATTTATAAAACAGATCTTCTGCAGTTCTTGAAATCCCTTTCAAGTGACCACAGTGTATTTTAAATGTGTCAAGCAAGAGTTATGTTTTACCCTGTGTGTTTCACTAGTGTAATTGATTGGCGATATAAAGAAAACTTTTACTGTGAAAAGTTAACATTTGTATTTTCTATCTTTATTCGTATTTTTTCAAAATGTATTTAAATTACAGCTGCTTAGTCTAACTATATTGACCTTTGTAACAGGAGAAGATTTTTGACAGTTTTGCTTAGCAATATTTTGCGGTTATAATGTTATTCATTTTAATTTTATAATCTTTTATAGTCAGTTATCTGCTATAGGATGGCTTGTACCTGTGGGTACAATGAAAAGAGCATTTTCATCATTCATTTATCTCAAAGTGTGAAATTTCATTCTGGAAATATACTTAATGTCATACAATCAGTAATGAGTGAAAAATTTAGTTTTTGTTTATAATAGTTACACCATTCAAAACATATAGAGAAAAATGACAAGATAAAATTGGTGTGATATTTTGAAAAATGTACTTTCTTAAAACATGGGAAAAGACTGGTCAGAGTATTGTCACAAATAAGTTGTGGAACTTCAGGCAAGCCTCTCTCAGGCACTGCTCCAAACTCTTCCAGTGGAAGTAGGGGCAGAAGGCAAGACGTCAGCCACTAGGGAAATTGTTCCCAATTTACAGATATAGAAATTGAAATCAGAGTTATACTGTTTGGGAAAATTTAACTTTATTTAAAATTTGAAATTGATAATGAGTCCATAATGTGACTCTTAGCCAGGTATCACACTCATTTGGCAGATTAACCACAATAGTTTAGATGGTGAACTTTTTAAATACAAAACAAGGAACAATACCTAAAATAAGTTCAAACTAAATCAAAAGTGAAGCATGATGGGATTTTTAGATTTCAAAAAAGTGAGCCATTCCAAAATGTCTTAATGAGTTGTTCATTTTCAAGTATTAAATAGGGAATGTCCTGTTCACTTCAAATTGTAGTGTAGATGATGTTTTGTTAAAAAATGGAGTAGGAACCGGGCTCGGTGGCTCAGCCTGTAATCCCACACTTTGGGAGGCTGAGGTGAGTGGATTGCCTGAGCCCCGCGGATTCGAGACCCACCTGGGCAACTTGGCGAGACCTCATCTCTACAATAAATCAAAAAATTAGCAGGGCGTGGTAGCGCGCTCCTGTAGTTCCAGCTACTTGTAAGGCAGAGGTTGAAGGATCGCCAGAGCCCAGCAGGTGAGGCTGCAGTGGCCGGAAGTGGCCACTGCACTCCAGTCTGGGCGACAGAGTGAGACCAACTCAAAAAAAAAAAAATAAAGTAAGATATAAGCAGAATGATCATAAACATACAGCCATAAAGCATTTCGTTTTCTTGATTTCTGTTCTATTGATCATTAGCTTTATTTCAGATAAGCCTATGGTGGATTTCACTTCCCAACTTGATTTCCAAAGCTGGTTGTGTGCTCCTGTTACAGATTTTTTCCTTTTTTCTATCTTGACATGTTCAGCCTGTGAGCATAGATGTGAGATAATGCTACATGATTTATGTTGAGCTCACATCAAGCTTAATTAAATGTTTAACATGGATTAGCCATTTTTCTAGTGCCTTATTTAATCTTGCAAGCTATTGACATCTGGTGTATGTCATTTGCTTATGAGACTCTATGATATTGTTTAACAGCCTTTTTTCCCCTCTCAGATTTCCAGGTCCTCCACCTGTCAACAACGTGGCATCTTCTTATGCACCATATCAACCTTCTACCCAGTCGTCTTATCCAAGTCCTGTGTCCACTTCATCTGTCACCCAGCTAGGCAGTCAGCTCAGTGCTATGCAGATCAACAGCTATGGTAACAGTTTTATTATTAGCATTTGTTGACTGCTTTATGTCATGCTTATTTTTTATAAGAAAGTTTTCCTGACGGGCTCGGTGGCTCAGCCTGTAATCCCACGCCTTTGGGAGGCTGAGGTGAGTGGGATTGCCTGAGCCCGCGGGTTCAAGACCCACCTGTGCAGCAAGACCTCATCTCTACAATAAATCAAAAAATCAGCCGGGCATGGCAGCGCATGCCTGTAATTTCGGTTACTCGGAAGGCTGAGGCAGAAGGATCGCCGAAGCCCAGCAGGTTGAGGCTGTGGTGGCCGGGAGCGGCCACTGCACTCCAGTCTGCGCGACAGAGTGAGACTCCAACTCAAAAAATAAAAAAAAAAAAAAAAAAAAAGAAAGTTTCCTTCACTTTAAAAATAAATGTAACTATGACATACCATATTGAAGTAGTATTTGGACTTTTTTATATAAGGCATCTCTATTATGTATGCCTATAATTATTTTTTTTTTCCTGATCATGCTGCCATTTATTTCAAGATAATTGAAGGACCCTCAGAATATTTAATGATAAAGCAGTCAATGATAAAACAATAAAAAACAAAAAATGTTGACTTCACAAATAAACATCAGAACAGTGAAATTATCTTAAGAAATAAAATAAAGGTAGTTTTAACCTTATGTTGCTTAGTATGAAGCCCCAAAATTGAAAATATAATACTCATTGTTTCACAGTGCATTTTTATTCTGTGTTTAGATCATGGGAATAATGGAAGCTCAGATGTTGTAAGACAGAAAAGAGAGGAATAGGAGAGAAAGAGTTATAGTACTGAGATGTACATCAATAGAAGTGCTGTATATTCTCGGAGTCATGGAAATCTTCATTGTAATGGCAACATTGTCAGCCATTTATCTTGATGAAGAATGTTGCCATACTACTTAAAATTAGTTTTTCAGAATATTTTCTGTCATTTACTGATTTCAGAGTGGCTAAGTCTCCAAAGAAGCAACTCAGTTTCACATAATCAGAGAAAGGAAAACATAATCTGGTTTTACAGATAATTCCAGTAGTATTGGAAACCAGGTTAGGGGCCCATTCCTTTTCTCTGGTTATTTCTACCTAGTTCTGAAATTTATTTGATCAAGTCAAGCACAGAGTGTAAATAATTTATTGAACATATAAGTTATCTGAGTAATGCTTGTTATGTAATACATTTTCTTCCTATATGATTTTCTAGAGTTTGCACCAGATCCAGATGCCATAATTAATGCATATATATCATGTAAAGTTAACACAATTGAATTAAAATTTATCTTATTTATTCTCCCACTAAAATTATGAGTGTTGCTTTTACCCTTTAAAAATTTTCTAGTTTTATAAAATGCCTCAAATAGTATTTGTATTACTTTCTGAATGAAGATTTCAATTGGTAATTAAAAAAATTGTACTTATAAAGTGTCTTCTTGCTTATGTCAGCAAAACATGTGTCTTGTAGGAGTCTGAGAGTTGAAAAATGTGCATTCAGGTGGGCTGGTCTTTCTCACGCAGGTTCGGGCATGGCTCCCCCCAACCAGGGGCCCCCTCCACGACCTCCACAGCCGTCCATTTTGCAGCCTGGCTCTCAGGTTCTTCCACCACCGCCCACCACACTAAATGGCCCTGGTGCCTCATCTCTGCTTCCTCCTCCAACATACAGGCTGGATGGGCACCCTGGGCCTGCTCATCCAAATGCCCAGTACCAGCCTCCACCTCTTCCAGGCCAGACCCTGGGCACTGGATATCCTCCGCAACAGGGTAAGGTGGGCAGGGTTCAGAGGAAGGCCTTGGGCAACCTAGGGGAACCTTTACCTGAAGGTCAGCTTTGATCCTATGTTAGCAGGTATCTATCACTTACTTTTGAAGAGTGGTAGTTTTTGACTAGTATGCCAAGAAAAAGAAATGGGGAATCGTAGATATTCACACTTGACTCCTGCCTTTTTTAGTAAGATGGAAAGTGCAACATGCTTGACTGAACAGCATAATATTGTCAATGAGTTTTACATATGGGATTTGGGATTATAGTCATTTCTTTTAAAATTTTTTCCAAGCTGCCAGCTCTGGCCCCCAGATGGCAGGAGCACAGCTCTCCTACCCAGGAGGCTTCCCTGGAGGGCCTGCCCAGATGGCTGGTCCACCACCACCCCAGAAGAAGCTGGATCCTGACTCTATCCCCAGCCCGGTAAGTGCTCTTCTTATGCCCACTGTCTCCCTCATCAAAGGAGCATTACTTATTCATTGTTCTCAGAAGCTCTTCAGTTTGTTAGCATTTATCCTGTCCTTTATCATAGAAATTAGGGCACATTCATCACAAAGACATTTTCTTATATGTATGGAAGAGGAGAGGTATCCTAGGGTTATGGGCATACTAGGGGACTCCATGAGAGAACAGCCTATGTAGATATTTTTTCTTTTCTGTTGTATAAATTTGGCAGTGTCTATTAATGTTTCCATTGACATATATTGGCAGCATCTATTGTTGGTTAATGAGTAATTTGCAGTAAGACTATATTCTATAAAATGTACTATTTTAGATAACTAAAGGACCCTTTTCAATAAGCGTAAGAGACCCATGAAGACTGAAAGTATAAAGTATTTTACATTCTGCATATAAAAAATAGTTTTATGTAGAGTTAGAACTGTTACTTATCTCTTTGTAACCCAAGTGATTTTCTTTGCAGAGCTATTCTTTAATAATTGTATCAGTGAGCGTTGCTAGGTTATTCTGCGTAGCAAACAATTCTCAACTTTGCTTGTAACTGCAAAGGTGTATTTATCACTCAGGTTACATGTAGGCTGCAGCAGTTACAGATTGGCTTTAGGCTCTGCTTTAGCTTCCCTTTTCATTTCAGAGTCCAGGGTGAAGAGGCTGGTTTTTTAAAAATTATTTTTGTGGTAGAAGGAGAAAGGGAAAGGAGCTGGCCAAAACGTGCAATAGCTCATAAGGCTTTCTTTCGTGTGTGGCATGTGTTACAACCACTCACATGACCTTGACCAAAACAAGTATAACAAAGCCCAATGTCACAATGGAAGCAGGGATGTGTATTTCTCTCTCAGGAGAAGCTGCAGGTCTTATGGCAATGAGCAGGGATTTCAAATCCTTTCAGAATAATAATTAAATGGACTACAGTTAATTCTGGGTCTTTGAATAGGTTATATAAGCATAAGTAGAAAGAGTTAGAAATAAACTAAGGAGCACAAAGAGCTACTATTTTAGTTAACTTTTGCTGTGTAACAAACCACCACAAAACTTAGTAGCTTGGAACCACTGCTTACTAATACACACACACACACACACACACACACACACACACACACACACACACATATACATATATACATATATAGATATACATAGATATATATATATATATTTTTTTTTAAGTTGTCGGGCAGTTTTGCTGATCTGGACCAGTCTTGACTGATTTGAGCTGGGCTTGCTCATGCATCTGGGGTCAGCTGGAGGCTTGGCTGGGCCTGGATGGGTTTAGTTTCCCGTAGCTGCTATAACAAACCACCACAAATTAGATGACTCAAAAGAGCAGAAATTTTATGCTCTCACAGTTCTGGAGGCCAGAAGTACAAAAGCAATGCCCTAGCAGGTGCTGTGTTTTAAGTATTTGCCCTCTTTAAAAGTCATGCTGAGCCGGGCTCGGTGGCTCAGCCTGTAATCCCGTGCCTTTGGGAGGCTGAGGTGAGTGGATTGCCTGAGCCCGCAGGTTCGAGACCCGCCTGGGCAGCAAGACCTCATCTCTACAGTAAATCAAAAAATCAGCTGGGCATGGTAGTGCATGCCTGTAATTCCAGCTACTTGAAAGGCTGAGGTGGAAGGATCACCGGAGCCCAGCAGGTCTAGGCTGCGGTAGCTGGGAGCGACCACTGCACTCCAGTCTGGGTGACAGAGTGAGACTCCAACTCAAAAAAAATAAATAAATAAAAGTCATGCTGAAATTTAATCCCCTGGGTGGTAGTATTGAGAGGCAGGGCCTTTAAGAGGTGATTGGAGCCGGGCTCGGTGGCTCAGCCTGTGATCCCGCGCTTTGGGAGGTGAGGTGAATGGATTGCCTGAGCCTGCGGGTTCAAGACCCACCCGGGCAAGCGAGACTTCTTCTCTACAATAAATCAAAAAAATTAGCTGGATGTGGTAGCACATGCCTGTAGTTCCAGCTACTTGGAAGGCGGAGACAGAAAGATTGCCGGAGCCCAGCAGGTCGAGGCTGCGGTGGCCGGGAGCGGCCACTGCACTCCAGTCTGGGTGACAGAGTGAGACTCCAACTCAAAAAAAAAAAAAAAAAAAAGAGGTGATTGGGTCATGAGAGTTCTGCCCACATGAATGGATTAATAATTTATGTATTTGTGGGTTTCACGGGAGTCAACTGGTGCCTTTAAAAGAAAAGGAAGAGAGACATAAGCTAGCTCTCTCAGCCCCTGTACCATGTTATGTGCTGCACCATAGTGGGATTCTGCAGAGTCTCTACCAGCAAGAAGGCCCTCACTGGATGTGGCCTCTCAACCTGGTACTTCTTAACCTCTATAAAAAATAAGTATCTTTTCTTTATAAATTTCCCAGTTTCAGGTATTCTGTTATAAGCAATGAAAAATGAACTAAGATAGCATGGTTGTGCTCCCTCTGGAGGCTGTAGGGGAGAATCTGTACCTTGGCTCTTCTGGTGGCTTAAGGCCTTTCTTGGCTTGTGACCACACGACTCTAACCTCTGCTTCTGTGGTCACATGGCTACTTCCTCCTCCCTGTGTCGTTCTTTAAGTTTCACCTGGATCACTCAGGATGAGCTTCTCCTTTCATATTCTTAATTTAACCAGTACTTTTGCCATAGGTAATATTCACAGGTTTCAGGGATTAGGACATGGGTGTATCTTTTGGGAGGGCCACCATTCTGCCCACCATATTTAGTGTCATTCATGTGTTTCGTGTCTGGTACCCATCTGTTGGTGGGGGATAATTGGGCCATATTGTCAAGCAGGCTAGACCAGGTTTGTTTACATGGTGGCAGACATCCAAGAGGGAAAGCAGGAGGGTGCCAGACCTCTTGAGGCTAGGCTTAGAACTGGCACATCACCACTTCTGCTATATTCTTTTAGCCAAAGCAAGTCACAAAACCACTCCAGATTCAAGAAGTAGAAAATGTACTCTGCCTCTTTATTGGAGGAGCAGTAAGTTACATAGAAAAGGGCACAGATGTAGGGAAGGGTGGAGAATTTTGGCTAATTTTGTAATCTATCACTTAGTCTATATTTATTTAAATATAAACTTGAAGATTTGGAATAAAGTATCTGTTGCTATAACATGTTAGAAATTAAATGTTAACCCTCAGTGCTTTTATTGATACTCATATTACTAGTTGTTACTTTTATGGCTTAAAAGGGAGAAAGACAGAGATTTATTTTAGCTCGCTCAGTTGTGGGGACTGAATCTGCAGGTCAGGCTAACAGGCTGGAGACCTAGGGAAGAGTTATTATTGCAACTCAAGTCCAAAGGCACCTGGGGGCAGAAGTCCCCCTTTCTCAGGGAGTGTCAGTCTTTTCTCTTAAGGCATCAGCTGACTGGATGAGGCCAGTCCACATCATGGAGGGGAATCTGCTGTACTCAATGTCTACTGGTTTAAATGTTAATCACATTGAAGAAAATACCTTCACAGCACCATCTGGACTGGTGTGTGCCCCAAAGATGGGTGGTATGACCTTGCCAAGTTGACACAAAAAATTAACCATCACATCCCCTTTCTCTTGGATTATTTACAGTTATTTGATGATATACTTAAATTTTTTTCTCTCTAGATTGTTTTTTTTTTTTTTTTTGAGTTGGAGTCTCACTCGGTCACCCAGACTGGAGTGCAGTGGCCGCTCCCGGCCACCGCAGCCTTGACCTGCTGGGCTCCAGCGATCCTTCCGCCTCAACCTTCCGAGTAGCCGGAATTACAGGCACACGCTACCACGCCCGGCTGATTTTTTGATTTATTGTAGAGATGAGGTCTCGCTGCCCAGGTGGGTCTCGAACCCGCAGGCTCAGGCAATTCACTTACCTCAGCCTCCCAAAGGCGCGGGATCACAGGCTAAGCCACCGAGCCCGGCTCTAGATTGTTCTTACCAGAATAGGAATATCCTATGATACCTCCCATCATTAATTAAAGAAGCCTCTCTTGGCCTCTTCCCAAATTTGGATCCAGTTTCTGCCCATCTCTTGGCTTTATTTTATAGCAAGAAATCTCCAGAAGCGTTGCCTGCTGTCTTCAGTTTGTCTCCACCCACTCCTGAACCTGTTCCAGTTTAGATTTCATCATCAAAACCCCCAGTACTGTGCTAGTCCAGGATGCCAGTCACCTCCCATTACCAAATCTAATGGTCAGTTCTCAGGTCTCACCTATCTTGACTGTCACCAGCAGTTGACAGATCTGTTTCCTCCATTGCCCTTGAAACACAACCTTTACATTTGGCTTCTGGGTTACCACCCATTCACTTATGTCTCTGCCTTCCCCACTGGTGACTCTTATCTCCTTTGTTGGTTTCTCCCTATCTCTCCGACCATCTAGTGTTAGAAGTGTCTCAAGACTTCCTCTTTGGACCTGTCCCTTTCTCCATTGACATTTGCTCTCTAGGTCAACGTTACTCACAAATTTTTTTCCAGGAGAGCATCATAGACATGAACTCAGAGTATATTAGAAATTCTCGTTCTCAGGCCTCAGCCCAGATCTAAGGAATTGGAATCTCTAGGGGTGGAGACCTGGATATCTGTGTTTCAACAAGCTTTTCAGATGATTCTTAGATATGCTAAAGTTTGTGAAGTACCACTCTAGGTGATGTCATTCTTTCTCAAGACTTTAAATGAGAATGCAAATGTTTCTAGTCAAGACCTTTTCCCTGAAATCCAGATCCAATTCCATTCTTCTAGCTCTTCAGGCCCAAAACTTTGGTATCATCTTTGCTTCTCTCTTTCTTGCACACCTCACATTGTATTCTTTAGCTGGTTCTATTGGTCACCCCTTATCTACTGGGTGATATAATCTACCTGGATGATTATAGGAGCTTCCTAACTGGTCTCCCTGCTCTGTCAGTCTACACGCAGCAACCAAGGTGATCCATTCCAATTCTAAGCTCACATCATGGCTAAAAAAGTCTGCCAACATTCCTCTAGCTAAAAACCAACATTCTTAACAGTAGACTGCAAGTCTCTACAGTATCTGCCATATACCCCCCCCACCCCACCTTTCACCTGGGCTCTTGCCTTCTCTACCCCTTTGCCTCAGTCATACCAGCCTCATTACTCCTTGACATGCCAGGTGTGCTCCCACCTCAAGGCCTTTGCACTTGACGTCCTTCTGCTTAGATACTCTCCCCCTAGATGCACACAGGGCATAGCGCACCTTCTCTTTCTTCATTATTATTATTGCTTCTCCCCAGTCTAACTGGCACTGCTGTGGATTGATTTAGAAATGTAATTACTACTTATAACGTCTCTTTGGAGACAGAGTTTTGTAAATTGCAAATGGATAATTTAAAAATAAACTTTTTGGAAAGGTAATCTATTGAAAGCGAACTATGTTCAATATATAGGCTCAGTGCATCAGGTACTATAATATATTATTATGGCTTTTACTTCACTTTCATATTTGACTTTTTGTTGGTTAAAATGATTGAAATACATGTTGATAATGTAAAAACTACTCTGATTTTGAATGAACTTGATTAACTTTGTGGTCAAATATAGAATATAATGACAGTGTTTTGATTTCTGTTTTCTTCTTGTCTCTGTCCATGGTCGTTTCAGCTGTGTCTGACAGTAGTTATATTTGGAACACATTTTATATTTTAATTTGATAACAACTTAAATCCTAAGTAAAGAAGGCAGACATGAAGATTTAAAAGCAGGCTAAGTCTGTCACCAACATTCTATTAAACCAATGATGTCAATGCCAGCTGGGGCCTGGATTAGATGGGATGGGAGGAAAGAATAGACAAGGCAATACTTCAGAGTTTTTCAGAAGACAATTTTCATATTATTATTATTATTATTATTTTGAGTCAAGGGTTTCACTCTGTCACCCAGGCTGGAATACAGTGGCATGGCTCAAAGCAGCCTTGTCCTCCTGGACTCAGACAATCCTTCCAGCTCAGCGTCCTGTGTAGCTGGGACTAAAGGTGTGCACCACTACTCACAGCTAATTTTTTGATTTTTTTGTAGAGATGAGATTTTGCTGTGTTGTCCAGCTGGTCTCAGACTCCTAGGTTCAATTGATCTCCCACCTTGATCTCCTCAAGTACTGAGTGTATAGGCATGAGCCACCATGCCCAGCCTAGAGTTTTCTTTTAATTGCAGAAAGTATTTTCTTTAAGCAGTTGTTTGCCATTTCTTTTCCTATCAGAATCTTTTTTTTAAAATGCTTACCTATAGTGCTAATAACCAAATTAAATAAAAATAAAGTTCTCTGCAGGATCTGGTTCAGAGCTCAGAGAATTACAGAATAGAATTTGGAAACTTATCTAAAATTTTGAAAGTAAAAAAAGGTGGAACTAATCACATGTTAGGTTCTCAATAAGGAGAATCTGATCTGAAATGAACTGAATTTAGAAAATGTGTGGTGTGTGTGTGTGTGAATAATGAGAGGGAAGGAAAAAATTGAGTGTTGGGAAGAGCCTTGACTGACTTTAACTTGCTCTTGATGACTTCTTTGTCAGATCCAGGTGATCGAGAATGATAGAGCCACCAGAGGAGGACAAGTTTATGCCACCAACATCAGAGGCCAGATCCCTCCCCTGGTCACTACAGATTATGTGATACAAGACCAAGGTATTTATTTGCAATAATAGTTTTGATTGAGGTTTTAAAATTTTTTACCATTTTATAAGCAAACACACTGATACCCTTCAATAATGTTTTACTGATGAGAAGTCTCATTATAGCTGATAACAGACCAATTTACCATTAATCCCTTAAGTACTGAGAAAGTACTACCAAGTGAATTTCTCTGCTTGTAGAAGTCAGAGAGTTTCCAATTAGGTGTAGAGTAATATATCTGCTTAAGAAAAGTCTGTATTTGTTCAGCTCTCTCACTTTACAGAAGTGAGGATAAGGCCCAGGGAGGTTAAATGACTTGTCCAAGGCCACACACCCAGGTTAGAGTCAGAGCCAATAAAGAAAAGCACCTGTTTTAAAAACATTGCTCCTTTGTCTCTGGAAACAGGATCTGGTTTTGAGACTTGCCCCTTGGTTCTGTGCTTCTTATCCGTCTTTTAAGACCCTGTTGAAGCACCTGATCCTTGATGTAGTTACCTCTGGTCCAAGTGACAGAGTCATTGTCTCCTTGTGCCACATCTTAGTCTATTTGTTTCTCTATGATACTAACTGTGCTGCATTTTCATGATCTGTTTTAATTATCTCTCCTAGCATGGGCCTTAGCTTCATAAATGTTTGTTGAGTTAATTTATTGAATGTTTTCAGATTATCCCATAGTGCTCTTTATTAAGCATCTTAAGAAGTTTTGAATCTTAGTTCCTAAGGTTGCTGAATTACCTGCTGTAGCCATACCTTTCCTATCCCACTGTTGCATACCAGTTTTTATAAAAAATAGATTCTCGATAGCTTTTTTCCAACTTTATTTTTGTGTATATTATCTTCCCGAAAGAAAAGTATATGTAGTCACCTTTATGAGCTCACTCATATGCATATTTTACTGTCAAAAATAAATCCTTTAAAGATAACAAATAGCCAGTTTTAAAATATTATTGATCATTTCAACTAGTAAAAGTTGAGTACAGTGGAAAATCAAAATACCTTTAAAATATATATATTTTTTGAGTTGGAGTCCCACTCTGTCGCCCAGACTGGAGTGCAGTGGCCGCTCCCGGCCACCACAGCCTCGACCTGCTGGGTTCCGGCGATCCTTCCGCCTCAGCCTTCCAAGTAACCGGAATTACAGGCATGTGCTACCACACCCGACTGATTTTTTTGATTTTATTGTAGAGATGAGGTCTCGCTGCCCAGGCGGGTCTCGAACCCGCGGGCTCAGGCAATCCACTCACCTCAGCCTCTCAAGGCACGGGATTACAGGCTGAGCCACCGAGCCTGGCTTAAAATATTTTTTAAAATTCTTAGTTCACAGTCTGTGTAACATTGTGATGATGATAATGAGGAAGGTTTTGTCCAAATATGGAACAAAGTGTTCAGCATATTTACATGTATTGCCTAATAATTTTTTTCTTTATATTCCTGCTGCCAAAACACTGGTTTTACCCTCTATTAGGATTGACCTTGATTCTTAAAGCAGTGGACCATCTACCATCTCAAACCTTTTTCTGCTCCCAGAAGCTGTCGTGTACACTTTGGGTAGATTGATTTTCTTCAAGTATTCATTTGATCATCTTATTCTTGTTTAAAAAAAATAATGTTTCATTGTTGACCATGGGCAAGCAGGATTGGTCTCCACCCCTCATCTAGAATTCCAGGCCTTCAGAACCTGGATCCAATTTATCCAGGATGTTGCAGAGAATTAGGATGGGTTCTTACTCCACTTTTGCCACTTACTAACTCATTGACTGTTGGCAGGTCACTTAACCTGCTGGTGTCTCAGTTTCCTCCTCAGTAAAGTGGATCATAAAGCTATCGATCACATAGGGCTCTTAAGGGACTAAAATGAGTTTGCATATGACCATTGCAGAATGATACCTGACACATTTGCTGTTATTATTAGCCTTGTTGTTATCCTGTTTGTTTCCTTTTCGTATCCTTCCATGTTTCCTTGTATTATCCTTATTATTTCCCCCCTTCTCTCAGACCCTCTGCAGAAGAACCCAAGAAATGGATTAGGCCTGCAGTCATGTTAATGTGTTCTTCACGATATTTTGTTTTGTTTCTATTTGAATTAGTTGCCATTACATAAAAATCAAAATATTTTGTGTAAAATTCCAGATTTCCAACTTGTGCTTAAAAATGTGAAACCTTCCCGTGCCTTTGGGAGGCGGAGGTGAGTGGATTGCCTGAGCCCGCGGGTTCAAGACCTGCC